GGGATGCAAAAAAAAAAGTGAAAATGTAAAATGTGCCGGGGTTAAAAACAAAACATATGAATGAAAATGAAATTATAAAGAGGCGGTAAGGGGTTAACAGCATGGTAATGTCAAATGAACAATGATGGAAAAAAGTAATGGACGCCGGAGTGGTAAATGAACCAAGAGGTGAGCAAACATGGCGCCCGTGTTATAATGGGCAGGTTAGAAACACACGTTAGGGAAAGATGGCTCCCTTCTGATTTACTGTTCGCTGGTGAGAGACATGAGGGAGCCCAGACAATGGACGAACTATTATCTGTTTACAGCCAATGGGATCCTGCTAATAGGATTCTGCCAATGGATCCTGCCAATGGGACGCTGCCAATGGGGTGCTGCCAATGGGGTGCTGCTAACAGGCTCCTGCTAATGGGATCCTGCCAATGGTTCTAAGGCAGTGGTAGTCAGTGTGCTAGATATAGGGGGGGGTTCATCTGCAGCCCCCCAGCATCTTGGGGTTAAGGGGAGGGGCACACATAATATGCAGTAGACGTAATCATATAGAAGATAGTCCCAGACTGTAGCATATTGCTGGAGATGTTCAGGGACATCATGACAGCCCCCTACTAATCAAGGGTCCCGCTATTGGCTGCTGGGGCCCAAGGGCCACACAATAAGTACTAAAGGGGTGCATGAGCCACTTGGGATAAGAGTCACACAGTCAGTCCTGGCCCACACGGCAAAGGTTCCCAGGACAACTCAATAGGACAAGCTGCAGAAGAAATGCAGCGCAACGTAAAGCAGGTCAAACGCGACCTCTGAACTGCCTTGCATCTGCACAATATAGGTCAATGGGAGTTTGCTGACCTGCGTTTGACCTGCATCAAGGGGTAGAACCCATCAGTGGCATCACAAGGTGGGTGTAGAGGGTGTGGCCGGCACCGGGTGACACCATCAGAGAAAGGAGGGGACCCAGCAGCATACATTATCCTGCCCGGTGAATGTCCTCTCCTCTCTTTGCCAAGATGGCCGCCGGCAGTGAACTGCACGTGACGAGATTATGCACATGCGTAATGACATCACATGTATACGTAATGACATGCGCACAGGGCGACACCCGGCCTGGTGATGTCGCTGGAACCGATTAGGCATCTGTATCCTTGTGGCAGATTTTCCCTCACTTCCTGTCTGGTCAGCTGAAGCCAAAACTATATTTTTAGGTTTTTTTTGTCAGGTTTCTATTGCTGTCTGTGTCCCCGTTTGGGAGATGCACCCACTCTATTTGTTCTGGGGGCTGTTATCACTGAAAGTGAAAGAAGATTCCACCAGAATCGGACAGGAAGTGAAGGGAAATCTCCCCATTGGGACTCAGTTGGCGCCAAAAATCTGACAGGGGTTATGACCCTCCTTACTTTATCCAAAACTGGAAAAAAAGTTTTGACTTCAGTTTTAGGGAGCCAAATGTCAGCACCAACAGCATCAAGTAGGCCGGCCATAATGTCCAGTGATTTAAAACCAATGCGGATCTGCTGAAGGCTCTAACTGAACTTTGCTCTGCGCCCTCAGATATATGGGAGGCCTAAATGTGAAAAGAAAAAGCCAGAGCGGTCGCCAAGGGAACCCTGCTGGTCCTAAATTCTGCCCTGGTAACAAAGGCCTCTTAAGGTAACGAGGCCTCTGGTATCCATAGCAACCAGATTAGCCCTTCTGTTTTCTAACCTGCCCTGGAAAAATGACGACAGGAATCTGACAAATTGCTGGACGCAGGACAGACGTTTGGCATCAGACACTTTGGTAAAAGAGGTCGAAACAAATGTAGATTTTGTTTTTTTTTTAAAAGCTGAACTCCGTAATATACAAATATTGTCCTCGTGCAAGAGTCATGTGTGTATTGTTCTTGGTGAGCTTTGTGTATTCCTTCCAGATCTGTGTAGTTATCCAGTGTTACACTTGGAGCTTCCTGTAATAAAGACCGGTCACTGCTACAATCTCTGCTTGTGCAGGATGACTCCGCCCCCTCCTGTAAAAAAAGACTGGCCACTGCTGTTCTCTCTCCTTGTGCAGGGTGACTGGTCTTGTCCACGCCCTCTCCTGTAATAAAGACTGCTCGCTGCTGCTCTCTCTCCTTGTGCAGGGTGACTGGTCTTGTCCACGCCCTCTCCTGTAATAAAGACTGCTCGCTGCTGCTCTCTCTCCTTGTGCATGATGAAAACGTTTGCTTGCGAGTACATCTATCCCTTGTTTTATTTATCCTAATAAACTATTTTACACACGGAGGTGGCGCTCTGTTCCCTTTTGTTTTCTAAGATGATTCTGATGAAGGCGGCTTGCCCCAGAAACGAGTCCATCTTGGCTGACTGCGGCCGGTGGGTGGTGATGTGACCGGAGGCAACCGTGTTATAGTCGGGGTGATACCATGTTGGGTTAACAGACAGTGTGGCCTCCCGTTTGTTGTTACAGCCTGATGGAAACGTTTGCTTGCGAGTACATCTATCGCTTGTTTTATTTATCCTAATAAACGATTTTACACACGGAGGTGGCGCTCTGTTCCCTTTGGTTTCCTTGTGCAGGGTGACTGGTCTGGTCTCTGCCCCCTCCTGTAATAAAGGTCTTGTGTCCACCCCTCTCCTGTAGTTTTCTGCAGGCAGCCTGTAGTTGATGGGGATACAGCTCTGCTCTCTGCACAGGCTATGTACAGCCCAGTGATGATGTCACTGCGACTCTACCAGGTAATATCTGGGTTCCCAAAGACATTTGGTGCACAAGAAAAGAGAATTTATATCCTTTGAGGCTTTATATTCATTTATTGCCCGGAGTTCGGCTTTAAAAAATCCCCAACTCTATCCAAAATTAACAGATTTGGCTGGAGTGGGGCAGTGTTAAAACCACCATGTTTTTTTTTGCTGTCTGTGACACCACAGGGGGCGGGGGAGATCTACCCTCACTTCCTGTGTGTCTACCACACAGGAAACAAGGTCAATATTTTAATTGATAATTGAAACTTTAATTGAGACGCTTGTTTGCAATAATTTGTTAATTTAGCAAATGCAAATGGTTACGTGTACGGCCACCTAAATGTTGTAATTGCTGTACATGTCCCAAGCTGGGAGCTTGATAGTTCAGTGTCAGGGACTGCACTGTGCAGAGGTGCCTCAATGTGGCAGGGTGGCCATACATTGGGCGGAATTTACCAAAACTGGAGCATACAGAATCTGGAGCAGTGGCCCGTGGCAACCAATCAGCTTCTAGTTTGTTCAGTTAAGGTTTTAAAGTGAAAGACAGAAGCTGATTGGTTGCCATGCACATTTGCTCCAGACTGTGGCATCCCTTCATTGAGGGGAATTTATCAAAACTGGAGCAGGCAGAATCTGGAGCGGTTACCCATGACAACCAATCAACATCCATCTTTCATTTTTAAAGATCAGCTGGAAAAAACTGAACTGACTGGTTGCCATGGGCAATCGCTCCAGATAAATTCCCCTAATCAAAAGATTAGAAAAGATTTCAAATTGTTCTTTTTTGCGCTGACTGTGCTGGAGAATTTTGACGGCTGACAGGTAGCGGGGTGGAGTCGTAGGCGTGCTGAGCCTGTCATACCAGTGCAGCGCATTTTACAAGGCCCCAATAAACTTCACACGTGTCGGGGACTTTGGACCGGTCAGAAGGATCATGCAGCTCCCAGCCGTGTAAACAGGAGCCGCGTCACCGGGGAATTTGAACTTGTACACAGACAAGGGATGTAATCGGTTTTCCATTGCTTCCTGTGATAGCGTGGCTGCTGCCGATGGCAGGATAAGGACAGCAGAGGACCGGACGGACTCTGCCCTCCGTTAAAGTGACTCAAAAAGTGACTTCAGTGCTATTTTATAGGGCAATGTTAATTGTGGCAATGCAGTGCCTTGAAAAATGTACCTTCTTGTGCCTAGGCACTCCTGTGCTACAGCCACATAGTGAGATCTCAGGTGCTGCTGCCTCTGACCAGTGCAGGGACAAGGTTCTTTAGCACCAAAGGCAAAAAAGTGTGCCCCACTCCATGATTTGTCAACTACTGGATAGGCTGGATAGGTTGTAAGTCTTGCCCTTTTTGCCCTCCCTCACTCCCCCCTCAGGCTGTCACCTCCTATACCGGCCCCTCAGCCCTGCCTCTGACTTAGTATTCAAGAAGCGGTGCTTCTTGAATACTAATCTCATTCCCATTCCAAATCTCAAGAGATTTGGAATGAGATGTGGTGATGTCACTTTTGTGCTGCTCACTGTCCTCCTTGATGGAGGCTCTGACATAAGGAAGCAAAGCTCTGCCTCCATCAAGATGGCCGCCTCCAATACAAGGACACAGTGCAGAACAAGGCATGGTGAGTCAGCATTAGGGAAATGATCAGCTGCTGAGAGACCACAGACACCAGTGAGATATTCCCTCACTTCCCAATCTGACACCAATCAATGGACAGGAAATAGGGAGATATTGCTTCACTTCCCAATCTGACACCAATCAATGGACAGGAAATAGGGAGATATTGCCTCACTTCCCAAACGGACACCAATCAATGGACAGGAGATAGGGAGATATTGCCTCACTTCCCAAACGGACACCAATCAATGGACAGGAAATAGGGAGATATTGCCTCACTTCCCAAACGGACACCAATCAATGGACAGGAAATAGGGTAGTATTCCCTCCTGTCCTGTTCTGATGCCAATCAATAGACAGGAAATAGGGAGATACTGCCTCACTTCTCATTCTGACATCCATCAATGGACAGGAAATCAGGAGATATTCCCTCATGTCCTGTTCTGACATCCATCAATAGACAGGAAATAGGGAGCTACTCCATCACTTCCCATTCTGACATCCATCAATAGGCAGGAAATAGGGAGCTTTCCCCTCACTTCCCATTCTGACACCCAGAACGGGAACCCTTGGCTGGACTTTAAAAGAAAAGTTCCTACTTCTACATGTATGTGGTGACACCACTAATCCATACGATAGAGAGATTTCCCCCTAAAAGGTCAGAAGACATTGCACGTTTACAAGTAACCTATCGCCACCTAGTGTCTAATGATAGGTACTGCATGTAAATGACTGCATCAGATCTAGCTGACTACAGGCACGTTTCCCTCTATTTTACTGATCACTAACCATTTTACATACAAACAAAGTGCTTTGAGAAGTTCTTTAGACCCAAGTAAAGCCTTATCAGAAGGAAATCATCCTCCTTGGGAACAGGGCCCAGCACAAAATAAGTGATATTATGATATATTATGATAATGGTGATATTATGTGTTAAGACCCAGAGATCTAGTCTATTACACCCCTACTTGCTGTCAATGGAATGATGCTTTGCCAACACAAGTAAATCCTTTACTGCCACCTGGAGGCTGACAGCAGGTACTGCACCCCAATTATTCCAGCGCACTAACCCATATCAAGCAATGAAGTATGACCATCATCAGTAGCCATGTTATTTTTTTTCATGTGTGCCAGCTTTTCTACAGAAAGGTTATAGTGTAAAAATGTATTAGTGGACAGCACAGACAGACAACGGGCTGTTTGCATTCCTGACACTGTCTGCCTATGTTATTGGTCAGTAAAATGCCAGGAACAATGGAAGAGTCAGGTGG